AGCTGTAGTTGTACAGTTAGTCCAAAATGTGACTTAATTAAAAATTAAATATTTAAGTTCTATTCGAAATAGATTCTTTGTAATGCGGTTTAAAAATTTGTAATAAAAATACATTATATTAAAAACTAGAACCAACAACGATTTGTATGCAAACGACATATGCTTTACAAGAGTATATAACATAGATGATATAGTACCGAAAACAGTACCGAAAATGGATAATAAACATAAGAGAGCAAAGTGCCATCAAAATTCAAAGTAACTCAAAGTCAATAATGTCAACATATTGCAATATACACCACTAATCTACAATATAAGGGTCTAATACTATATAGACCAATAAAAAATCCTGACGTCACAAACATAATCAACGCTTTTTATACTCTTCCATATAATAATAAAATCTGCATACAAAACAACGCTCATACATAAACAAATCATAAAACTAACTACATACCTGGTACGGATTCATGGTCTTTTTGGTGAGATTGTCAAAACCTATTAGCAGTGATATTCATTATATCTTAAAAATAAAAATATTCTTAGAGACTGTGACATTGATATTTAAAATGATAAATAAAAACGAAGCTATGGATCTTTTCGATTAGATAGAGCTAAGGATCCAAACTCAATGCTCATAAACTATAAAAATCTGTGAAATTCCACTGAGGAAGGAAGATATGCCGAAGTTGGGGTACTTATAAATGAGAAATTATAAAATATCACTAAATAACATTGAAATCTATACAATTTAAGTGTAAGACACACAAGTGTTCACTGATACGAATAAGCAGTGATTCTGATTGATATTAACCTTATAAATCCACTCAACGTTTTTAAATTAATTAAAGTTTGATTAATTAAATAATTATTAACATTATTAATTAATAACTATTAACTCTAAATTAAATTATTCTGATAACTTAATAAAAGCTTATATTATATATTAGAAATTCTAATTAATTAATTTATCGTGATTTAACTTCTTTGCCATTCAGATTATAATGAAATTAAGTTAAATTTGGGCATTGATTTTAATCAAAAAATATTTGTGATATTATGCGGACTCTTTTCGGGACAATTTCAGTTTAATGAAGGACTTCTTTGCCGTTCAGGTTATAATAAAATTAAGTTAAATTTGGTCATTCTCTTCAATCAATAAACATTGAAGAGTACGCTGACCTTTGTGGCTCTTTCGGAAATCATACTGATCTGCGTATGAACACCACTAATTCGTGGTATTACAGCGGGCCATTATTTGAGCTCAAGTGGGCTTTGGGCATAGAACCGCCAATCTGAACTAATTCAACCCAACATTGGAAACTTCAAGATAAATTTAATCCAGTTGAATACAATTATGTCAGCGTTTGATTTAATACTCTAGATATTTTTTGTCTGATTAAGTTGTAGAATTCAAACTCTTTCGATGAGTTTTTTTTTACGACATCTATTGATTTAATATATCTAATACGTACTTAACTTCAAGAATGGAAAAAAGTTAGACGAAGTCACGTCAAGTGAATACGTACTTTGATCATTTATATTCATATGATCATTGATATTGCACTGATTGATAAATACGATGATTGAAAATCTATAAAACGGTTTTTCGTAAACTTGGCCATTTTCTTCGGGTTTTTCTGTAAAAATATATTTATTATTTAAGTTAACTCCTTAAGATTTATACGACGATTTTCGATCACTAACTCTGTGATATTATGTTTTCGTTATCGTTGAAGACCGGCTAAAAAGTAACACATGGTTTACCACATCACAGTCTATTTTAAATTCTCTGGGGAATATGGAAACAGATTATATTGCCTCTCTCTAGGCAATATAATCTAAAGATAATTAAAACTATATAATTCTGATAATATTTTTGTTTATATTGAAGTATTAATAATAATTAGAATTTTTGATAGTGCAACATTAATATAAAATCATTAGAGATACTTATTTTTAAAAATAATTATGGAAAAAGCAGTAACTAATTCTTATTATGGAACATAATTTTACCATCGCGAACATTGTAGAACACTCCAAACTATAATTACAAAAACCTTTGACGTGAACACACTCTATAACAGATCGTGCCTATATCTCGAAAGGTAACCCACTACAATACTACCAACTTATGAATCTGAAAAGCGTTTTTTAAATAATACACACATATATATAGATATCCATTTTAGTTAGTTTTATTTCGAAACAAACTGCAGTATCAGATTTGGGAATATCTGCTGCTTCTCATTTGCATATTTAGCAGATTTATTAGAAGAATTTAATTTATTGAACTAATTTCACATTGACATTGAAATTTCTCAAATAAAATTACGAATTTAAAGTTATTTGCAAAAACGTTAATCACATTTGGTTTAAAAGTGACAGAGTTATAAGATTTTTCTCTTCAAACGCATATGAATATGGATACATCAACACACATCTATATTTTTGCCTAACAAATTAGGCACATTAAGCAATTTCAAATTATTGTAAAGCGGTTGCCATAATCTGTAAAATATGTGTAGGCTTGTACAACATTAATCCATTAATTTTAAACATATTTAGTTTTTTAAATCTATAGTTGAATAACATATAATTTCAAGTTTATTTTTTAGATCGATGAAGAAAATATCATAGAAATGCATTGTACCATACTTAATTGGAGACATGCTTCTAAACATACGGTTGATATATTGAGGATGAAAATCAATAGCCTATGCTTTTTTAAATGCATTGTGCTTTACTTTAGCACTATTTTTAAGATTTTACTATATAAGAGCATATCGCTACAATAAATTAATGTAACAATATCTACTTTTAATATGAACTAATTCTCGGCCTTCTATTGTGTTACTTTTATCGTATATTCTATCGTATTTATCGTATCAATTACTAAAATTGTGCTGTACTTAAATTATTAATATTTTACTTTTTATAAACTTTTATATAATTTCTTTTGGAACACATAAAGCAAAACATGACAATAACTTTACATTTGACACAATAAACTTGTATTGTTTTAGGTATACTGATATATAAAAATAATAGATGTAATAAATATTTGAATCTTAAATGAAAACCATTTAAGGAATATATCTATATAGAAAAGATACTGTATAGAAAAGATACCGACACAATTGCTTTCTGTAAGCTTATGATACTCGTGCCATATACATTATATATTGTGTTACCATGGTAGATCTTGTTGTGTTCTGTTACGCAGTGTGTTTGTATTAGCTATTTATTTTTAACTTTTAAGTTCTCTACGGTTGCAGAAATCCATCAAATCCATCAAATCCATTTTACAAGTATTTTTGCTAACAAATCAACGAACTTGATTGACTCTGTACATCACTCACCTGACATGACACTCAGAAAACGGAACCACAATATTGGTTGACAAATAATATAGTTCGGCATATCGGTGTACCGACCATGTCATCATGGAGAACAATAGAACATAAGGCATTCGTGAGATGGTATTATTCCCAACTTTCATAATGGAATTAAATTTAAATTGTTAACAGAAGTTGTTGATGAGGAGAACAGAACAGAAAAATATCATGGAATAAGATTCGCGTTTATAACGTAAAGTTTATATGCAAATGTTTAGGAAGTAAACTATATAACTTTATTTTTTTTTAATTAAAATCTGTATTAAATACTAAAATTTTGAGTGATGTAAAATCTATTAAAATGCATTGAACGGCATTGTTGGTAAGCGTGCACCGCTTAGTATGATATTGTATAATGTAATATATATCACAACAGCTCAAGCGGAAGATCAGCGGTACCAAGCGTTTTTTTTACCGCTAATTTGTACTCCCACCGAACGTATTTATGTTTTCTTTTGCTGAATAATCAAATTTTTCGGAAAAATATTTTATTTAGTAAATTATATGCCATGAAGAAACAAAGGAGGCGCATTATTTACAAGAAATTATTTGGTTTCCAAGTAAATTTGTAGCTGAGTTGATATATAACGAGTACTTCAGATTTGTTTCCAATCTGTTAAAACAAATGCTTTATTTAAGTGTTGTATGAAGAAATATTTAAATATTCGTGTGAAAAATTAGTATATTTTGTTTAGGTTTTGTAACTGCGCTATTTCCTGAAACTACACGTAACTGAAAAACACGAAAATCTGTTTCTCGTTACTTTTTCATTTATGGATAAACAAAAAAATATGTATCTTTAATCTATTTCAGTATATTATATACGAATGTTTATAACGAAACAAAAAAAAGTTAAATAAAAATATGTAAGGAAGTAGAAATTAAAGTTTTTGATTTGTTCCAAAATAGATTAAATTGATAGTAGATTCTGTAAAATTTAATATCTACATTTATTTTATTAAAATATGTTTTTTAGTTATAAGCCTTAGGACAGAGGTTTTCAGAGGTAAGTAGAATTTCAACTCGCCAAAAGACCGACTCAATGAGGCTTTGAAAATAAATTGATTGCGGATACAATACACCATACAATATATTTTTGTTTCTACCACCGTTTGAAAAAGAAAATAACTAGATTTCAGCATTAATGGATGTGAAAACAAGCATGGGAGAATGTGATGTAGTGATTTACACCTTACAGTTAATATCAGGGACTTATTAAGGACATTATAATATCAGGAACATTTGCGGGAAAAATTTAATGTTTTGAGCTTAGTTGGTCTTTGAATAATTAACATCACAATTTTTTGGGTTCATCCTTTTTAAAAACCTTACTAATAACATAGACGTGACATAGAACAGTAAAGACTGAGATGAGAATGGTTAACTATGGTGAGGATTAATAATGTCGTAAAGCACAAATATAAGATTTGACTTAAAACGATCGTAAAGGACTTATGATACTTTGGGATTAATGGATGACATACCGTAAGTCAGTAAGTTAATGTTTCAAACTTATTTTTAATTTGAATAATTTATGTGTTTTAGGTACCATAGATTGTATTATTAAAATAAAAAATATTTATTTATTTAATTCATTCTTACCTTTTTGGGCAATTTGTTAAGTATAAGTTCTGTAAATAAAAGAAAATAAAAATAAATTATTTGAAATTTTTTACATATAACTTAATAAATATAAGTCAACACAATAAATTTATATTCCAAACATAAAAAGCTATTTTAATTTTGAAATATTCTTTTTAATTCGAATTTTGCAGTTTTATAAATATTACTAATATTTAATATGGAAGTTTCGAACAGTAGTGAAATGCAACAACAAAAATTTAATTTATATTATTTTAATTATTGCCAAATACCCTCCATCAGTTGTCTTGAAAATAATTCTTCTATTTAATTATTCGTAAATAATTTTTTGAGACTGTAAGTACCAGTGATTAAATTCGTGCCCTGCCAAATTTAAAGCTCAGAGTCAGCACACCTTGCCAAATCATATGGAACAGTTATATTTATTTATAGAAGAAAACCCCAATAATAAGACGTGGACTATGTTTGTAGCACAAGTTTTCAGATAATATCTTTGTGCCAAATATGTTATTAAAGCGATTAATCTAGAAAGAGTACTTGCCTCAGGTTACCAGATTTCTATTTCTTATACTAAATAATTTCATATATGCTGTTGCCCTGAAGTGAGGCAATACGAAATGCTGTCATTGAAAACCTGCTGGACATGGGACAACAAATCAAAGCTGTACTGATAAAATCAAAATCGGATGACTAGAATTGACAGCCACAGATTTCAAAAACAGTGTGCGACAGCAACAGCACAGCTCTTATAGAGAAGAATAAAGAACTGAAGTAAAATAAGCATAGGTCGTAAATGGACTGTATAGCTATAGCTGATGATGAACGGCACAGATATTAAAACTCCATTAAAAATTTTGTGAAATCAGCATGATTTTATATTTTTTCTTGACACGAAACAGAATGCCTGACAATGGTATGTATGAAGGCATAAATACAAAAGAATCACAAACGAAAAAACTGATACTAAAACTAGTCCCAGATGAAAACGTGAAGTATATTAGCTATTGTAACTGTTAATAAATTTGGTGTTTTCAATATCACCCCAATATATAATGTTAAAGTGCTGTATGGAATTCACTAAAAGAGCCAAATAAATCAAAAGAGATAAAATATGTTTTCAAAAGACTTAAATTAAGATCATGCTAGCCCCGTTTTTTTCAATTCAAAAGTAGTTGTTTACAGTGAATTTGTTTTATAAGATTGAATAATAAACGCAGTATGTTATCTAGTAGCTACACAATAGATAACGGGCCTTAAATTATTGATTTTTGTGGGACGATAATTCATAATTGCATAAAGTTATTAAGGCATGCCAATTGTTGACTAAAAGACTTATTAACTTATTCAACTTATATGGTTTCCAACAATTTTTAACTATTTCTGAAACTAATATAGACGATTAAAGAAAATCCTTTAGATACCATCAGGGTTATCCAAAAGGTTTTCTGCGACATATTGATACAATTCGTATTTACCGATTATCTATCATATTTAACTTATTTGATTTCATACGATGTTCTCAAACTAAAACTCGTATAAACGATGAATGTAAATCATTTAAATACCATATGGGTTCTCCAAAAGCATTTGTCCGACATACTGTATGCAATGACCAATGGGCAATGATTATAAAAAATATTTAAAAATCTTTATTTAATGTGTTGCGTTGGTTTTATTTGAACCAAGACTATTTTACAAAAACAAGATCAAAAATTAAAATAAGAACCATTTTGTAGTATTTTTATGATTGTGTAGATTTAGGACAGATTGTGTATAATAAAATATAGCATGGTTTCTCTATAAACGGCTGGAACTAGGTCGGTATTTTTAAAAACACTTCGTTAATGTTGGAAACTAATGAACTCGTACACGCACTTCTTGATAGGACTACTATGGTACTAATCATGTCTCTAACCGGTATTACGTATCAAGATCTAGAGGTCTATGAGTAGCAATTGTATGCTAACTCGTTAAACCTATGTACCTATCTACCTACATACACGTATGAATGAAGTAACTTTTATTTTTAAAATTTCTTTTAAATACTGAATCTACCAGTAAATATTATTAACAGATAACATTTCAATTGATTTGGTTCTTTGTTGGTTTCAGTTGTAAATTTAAATAATTTTATTGTACTCGTATATGTCGGCTACTTTTGAATTCTACAACATTACCGTTTGCGTTTCCAGTCTTATCTCAACACTTACTTACTTTCTTTCTTTCTTTCGTGCTTATAATGTCTTTTACAAAAACTTTTCATTCCTTCTTTGAATTTCCCTAGTCTTCATAACAAAATTAAGATTAATTTTTTTTTCATTAGATATCAATTTGAGATATTTTTAATGCTTTTCTAATTTAAAATGCTAATTTTTTAGTCATTTGGGCCGTGTCTTCGCTGCAACTGCTAGTCTCTGAAGAGGCTAACTCTTGTGTATGTTTGCTTTTCTTTGTGGTTCATTTAGATACTTAAGATACAACAAACAAATACAGTTAGGCCTTAGTAACACATCCGATGCCGTTTGTGATCGCATCGGAGGTATTTTTACACTTAAAAGTACAATGGCCGTGCAACGGCATATTTCTCAAATTTTTTTTTAATCTTCCCTTGTAACCATTTTAAATGCTATTAGTTTCGAATTTCTTGGACTACGTTTTCCATCTTATTTACTTTATGTTTTCTAATTTATTGCATATTGAATTGAACGCTTTTTGAATATTTATGAATTACTAAATATATTTTAAAATAAACTAAGTTTTTTTTTTTATTTTTTTACTGAAATGAGAACTTTTATTTTTATTTTATTTTTCATATTCTGGTCAATATACTGTCTGTCCGTCCAACAGTTCCTATATGCCGCTTCATGTTTACGGTTTCACATATTATATTTTTCTTGTTTCTTTTTCTGTTAATTAAGAGATTTTTATATATATATTATATATAAGTATGAGTGTATAATAAAATATTGTATAGAATATTTTTTGTAAATTTTACTTTGTAAAAAGAAATGGAAACAAGCTTAACAAGTTAGTAAATATATTAAATTTTAGTACATACTCTCGGACTTGTTTCGTCTTTTTTGTGAGAAGATTTCTATATTTCGGCGAAACTGAAACAGAGTGAATAATTTCAGTCCTTTAAAAATTTTTTTAATAAATTATAAACAATTTTTTTAATTTTTTTTAATTTTAATAAATTTTAATATATTTGATATCTGAACTTCGTAACGAACATCACAGTTTATAGTACTGGCTTAAAGAATTCAATGGAATGATCAGCGTCTTTTAGAATTTTCTGCTCTAACGACTTGTAGAACCTTTGCTCTGACGAGATGTGGTACTCGTACTTCAATGAGTTATTGTACTTTTAATCATTTGAGAAAAAATTAGAAAAAAATTGTAAATGATGCATTAAACACTGTTAATAAACACTTTGTATATATACATATGTAATATAAATATTTAAATATTTATTTATATATATATATATATTTAGAGAATAACGCACCAAACAAACGTAAACAGCGAGATAAGAAGAAAGAAGTATGGTTGAATTGGACAAACACTGCGTAAGTCTTATGAAGACATAGCGCATGCTACACTTACTTGGAACCCCCATAGGACTAGGCGCAGAGGCAGACTAGCAATAACCTGGAGAAGGACAGTTCAGCAGGAGATCGACAAATCGTTAAACTAGTTGAGAGCAATAGCACAAAATAGAAACAAGTGGAAAAATTTTGTAGGCTCCTAATGGAGCTCCTAATGGAGTATGGAAATAATAATAACAATATATTTATAACATTTAAATTAATATAGTTTTTTACTATTTCCATTTTTAAAAAACTAATCTTTAAATAAAAAATTTCGAAACGTCGGTGATGTTTACATAGATAACTATATAAACTAATTTTTTTTTAACACAAAATTTATTTATCGCTTTTGGGTTAGACATTATTCAAGCAAAAGTAAAAGCAAAATACACTTTTAATGTCTAAAAATTTTTTGTGTTGAATATTAAAGTTACCTTTCATACGGTATAGCATGAGTTCTTATTTTTAAGTTGTCGAAGTTCGATTTATCTATTGCAATCATGAAAAAGATCTATAATTAATTTGACTTGCGATGCTTTAGAACTTCTGTAGAAAACTATTCCTGAGTTAAAATGATTATAGCCTCTCTCCAGTACTTTACAATAAGTATTCAGTAGACTTCTTCTATATTCGTTATATATACGTATACTATATTTATGACACGATATTGTACTATACAATATAATTATAAAAATTATTATAAAAAATTATTACCTGTTGAACTTTGAAGAGTTCAGGATATTTGAGAATAAAATGGATAACTTTTAAAGCTGGTAATATTATAAAGTGCATATTATTTATTGCAACTATTGAAAACTGCAAACCATTTAGTTTATACATAAAGACATCCTGACATCCCATAATGTATGTCAGGTTCAGAGAATATTTAAAATATATTAATTTATATTAAACAGTGTTGTGAAATTTATTTTTTTTTATCAACTACATATCTAAAATAGTAAAAATTATGTTTCGTGGGTTTATTAATAGATCACTATTATTCACGAAACCATGCTAAAATGGATATTCCCTACACTGATTTTAATTATCTGGAATGTCATTGATTATTCCAAACGCAACTAAGATTAATCATGCTAAGAACTTATAAAAAAATTTTTAAGATAACGGATCCTTTTACACTTAATTATCGATTCAAAAAATTTCAAACCCCTGCAAATTTATACGTAAACACAATTGGCCATAAAGTTTTGGTGTACTACCCAGAACCCAATAATATTTTAACCTACTCCTTAATCAATGCTGTTACTTAAGTATTTTTGTGAAGTGTTAATTCCGGACATTTGTAGATTGCATTACACTGTCTACGTTAACCTCTTCTCGTGGACCGAACATATATTTGAGAAACGTTTACCTAAGATTGTTATATCGCTGGCGAATTCTATTAACTAAAACAGAACCTTCGTCAATTGCCACGGCAG